AAAGAGAAGGAATACAAACACAATACTACTTATCTGTAGGATCTTTCAATATGCCTCGAGTCAGGATCCAGGTAGGGCAGATTAATATAAAACTATCTTGTCAAAATCCTTTTCAACATGAACGAGGTCTTATAGTTCTTATTTGACCTTAAGTAAGACTTATCTGAGTGTGTTCTAAACTCTACAAAAGGCAGTGGTTAAATCCTGAGATTTGCTCCATCCCATTATTAGCAGAGAAACACTAGTGAAAGAATCAGTTATCTGATTTTATATGTTTGTAATTTTCTTTGGTAATACTGATGGATTTTATACTGTCTAATTTTCAGCTTTATTGTTCAGTAGTTAAAATTTCAATTAAAAACATCTTTTAAGTATTGAATTGAATGATATAATAATATGATGATTTGTAACCAACGAATGCCCATCTATTATTGAATTTATGTATATAACGAATAGTCGTGTTTATATCTACATGTTAATTAACATTTAAACTGATGAATAATAACCATTATTTTTACCATTATACATCATGCACAGTTTTTGCATCTAAAGATTTCTTTTTTAATGGAGAAAATGACAAATATCAATTTGAGCTATATAAGAAGTTTACAGAAATGCTTTTATTGATAAATGCGTCCAAGTTCATAAATCATGCATCTAAGTATTGATAAAAAACAAATACAACCTCAGCCAAGTCACAGTTATAGTAGCTTGGGTAAACTCATTTTCCCAATCCCTAATATTTGTTTCACAGTGTTTTCCTTCCACTTTTAAATAGAATATAATTTCTTTCATGTTTCTAAACCTGTAGAAAAATAGTTAAATGTTGAATATTGAAATACTCTTTTAGACTTAAAAGAATGGGATTTAATTACTTTATAGCTTCAGTTTTCCTTTTTGTATCTGACTTTGATATAAAATTTGTAGAAAAATTTTGAACACCTGTTTTTTTTGTTTTTTTTATAACTTGCTTGTGAATTAAAAGAAAAGCTCTTAATCAAATCCATTTACTTTCTTTAACAATTTTCAGTATTTAATGTATAGTTGATATAACGTAGATAATCCCAAGGTATGTGTAATACATAAATTCCAGCTTCTCTGGGTGAAATATTTTCATTATAGGATTGGACAATCTTTCAGCTTCAGAATTGAACTTCATCAGGTACCAGGTCCAAAAAAAAGTTTGTACTTTTTTCTTTAATTTAATATCTTGATAGAAAAAGCATATGTTTAATCTACTGTTTTGTTAGATTTTCCATTTTTGTGTATTACTCCATATAACACCTTGACCTGGTGGTTAGGGTGTTTGATTTGCAATCTGAGGGTTGTTGTTTCGATTCCCTGTCACTGAACATGCTCATGCTTTTAGCCATGGGGATGTTATAATGTGACAGTCAATCCCACTAGTAATTGGTAAAAGATTAGCCCAAGACTAGTTGCTTTCCATTTAGTCTATCACTGCCAAATTAGAGATGTCTAGTGTAGATAACCCTTATGTAACTTTGCATAAAATTCAAACAAAACCATATAACACTTTCCTGAAATTTTTTAAAATTATCAAGAACATCTCATAACTACACAAAAACCAAGTGAGTGACCAGAAGGCCTTTTAACCTATGGAGATTACAGGTATCAGTGTGAGATTTTTCTGCTTATAAAAGATTTAATTATAATATAATATTTAAGTGTTTAACTATAATCTTATGTAAAGTTGTATTTTGTTTTGGCATTAAACTTAAAAAAAAAAGATTATAGCATATGATCATACGTGTCAGCAGTGTGCTAACAGTTTCAAACTTATTTCATCTTAGAGAGATCATTTTTTCCCAAAAATGGGATTCACCAACATTTTGACACCAGAGACTCTGTGCCTATATTAATGGGATGTGTTGCTGCAGGCTTGGCTCTTCTTGCATGCAGTGCTGGAATAGCTCAGCTTTTGAGGTGAGATACAGCTCTATGCGTGATATACTTTTATCAGTGAAAAAATGGTAGAGATTAAATACCTCTTACCAATTCTAATTTTGATGTTGTAAAGAAAGTGTATTTTCATAAATTATATCAGATCTACTATTTAACGTGTAATTATTTTGGACTATCAGCCATTAGATGATCTTATATCATAAAAAGAGTAGGTAGATTTGGCTGAATAGAAAAGGTTTTCATTAGCAACCTGGCAAAATATTTTTATTCCTACTAGGATATCTTTTTTTTTCCATTGTTGTTAATATTACGTCTATTTTGTATTTTAATCACATGCTAAAATATTAGCTAGTAATTAAAAGTTTTTTAAAAACTGTTCACTTTTTGAACCCATACTTCCTAATACCATGATGTATTAAATTGTACTATTTTACCTGACTGTTCAACTAACAATGCTGCAAATCTCAATAGCTCACCCTTCTACATTAACCATAATTGTAATTTTCACATATTTCTATCTTTTGGTAGTAGTAATAGTCATACCTTAACTTGAAGCTTTACAAATTTTTAGGCTAACACAAATGTTAAAACTTTGGATTACTATTGAACTGTACCTTAACATTTGAGTTAAAAACACTTATCCTATAAAAAAAAAGTGCTTATGATTGAATGCTCGGTTTTAATTTTTAATACTCATGCCATTTAGAGAAATAATGGATGAAGCAAGTTGTCATTTATGTGAAAGTACTTAATATCTGTCACCAGAAAGAAAGGGGAACTTAATATTTATTGTAACACTGTAAAAACCATAAACCTTCAAGTGTATTTATCATTTCACTGACAGATCAAGGAAATCATGCTTTATCCTTTATTTTACAGCTTGTGGTACAAACTGTTTACCACCCCTTTCATGACGGCTACCTCTTTAAACACGTTTCTGTGCAAGTCACTGAGTTACATTGAAAATTTAATTAAACAACTTTACTATCAATGTATGTGAATGAAATTAACATTATAATATATGTTATCATTCAAATTTTTATGTTATCTAGTTTTAATTCTTTTATTTCAAAAGAAACCTTTAAAAAATACTTAAATTTCAGTTTTGCTTTGGCATGTGACCCACAAGCTATGAAACCTCTCAACTTTCGCACTTTCTACATTGACTCGGATAATTTCAGTTCTGTAAATGTATGTGTAGACAATTAAGTATGTTTACTTTCCCTGTTGACACGTAAGTTTCAAAGTAATAAATTTTGTCAACTCCTGATGGATACCACTCCCATATTTTTGAACTTTATAATGTACAGCACCTTGCAAAAGTATTCACCCCACTACCAATAATGTCACAGTTTTGATGAAATACAAATAATGTAAACAATTGATTTTATTCAAAACTCTAATGATCAAACTTAACACTGTTATGTGTGAAGGAGGTTGAATGTCAGAAAAACCTGCAAAGAAAATATATAAATTGAAATTTGCTGATTGCATGGAGCCCCTTAGTCAGTACTTGGTGCCAGCACCTTTGTCAGCAAGTCTGGCAGGTACATTGGGGATTGTTAATGGGCTGCAATCTTCAAGTCTCGCCAAAAAATTTTCTACTGGATTCAATTCAGGACTTTGACTAGGCCACTCCAGGACATTCACTTTCTTCTTTTGAAACCACTCAAGTGTGG